TTCGCGTCGTCCCCACTTTCCGGCCGAGGGAAAAAATATCTCCACGCTGCTAGAATAGACTGTGGCTGCGGGTATCCTTCGAAACGTGTGTTGTAGCCGAGAGTATAGCGTACTTAATATACGTAAAGAGTACGCACACGAATATGCAGGCCCGCAGGAATATGCGCACGCTGAATCGAAATTCGAAAGAGTCGAAGCAACGTGCCGGTCTCGCAGTGTGAGCCAGTGCAAGCTAGAATAACAGCTGGACGAGGAACGAGCGTGACGATTCCGTTGATATGGCACTCGCAGAATTCGACGTGAAATCGTTTATCGAAGAAATCAAGAAACGTCGCGAACTATGGGACACGTCTTCAGGGCGTATACGAATAAAAACAAAAAGCGGAAGTCATGATCCACCGTGGGTTCGAAATATTATGAAGGTTTTCTAGAAAAAACTGAAGATGAACAGTATAGAATCAGTAAGTAATGTTCTATTTTAAATTGGATGTTTCTGGACTATGCCGTGGTAATACAACCTCCTAGATTACGATAATCTCTTTACTACTTTTTCTAAAAAGTTATCTAGTTTCTTGATAATGTTAACCTTTCAAGATAAGTATAAGCACCTAAATTAAAAATTGATACATATATAAGATAAATTAGAAAATATACTTATATGTGCAAGATTTAGGAATAAATGGAGGAATATACGTGACCAATTTGTAAAAACAGTCCGGAGAAAAGGCGTACGTGGATACCATTACATATACATATGTGCTGTGTACGGGAGCGAGAATATATATACTGATAACTGGTTAATTATGTTTATTAAAGAAGAATATAAAATATAATTGGTACTTCAGCGGTTATCCCTGTGTCTCGTGTCGCTTCGTCTTAAAACCATACATGTTCGTTCTCGTTCACTCAACTCTAGCGCCACTACGCTCGGTACACGCACTACCAGAGCAGGGATGTCGTATCCTTCCGTACACGGCTCGCTTCCCCTATTTTTCGCCCGTATTTCGATCCCCACTACTATTCCCCTCATGCGTGCTCATGCGCGTTCGCGAAGCTCTCCGCAGCGGTACCGTGAAAATCAGTGCATACCCCCACCAACTATTGGTCCCCACCATGGTCGCGTCGTCCCCACTTTCCGGCGTGTACGGATGGACACGAGATCCCTGGTCCATAGTCTATACTGATGACATCTGCTGAGCGCGTATTTGCGTCCATAGTCTACAGCGATGACTTTCGTTGGACGCATATGTGCGCCCATAGCACTCAAAGGGTTAACATTCATTAATGACATGACAGATTAAGAAAATT